GAAGCGAGAAACATAAAATAGCATCATAGCCACGGTGAAAAAAGTGATTCTGACTCATGCGCGTTATAATACTCGTCTCCGACTCGGACTATAAAGTCGCATTCGTCAGATTCCCTTTTTTCGTCCTAGGCGTGAAATATACTATACAATAAAAAGACATCGTTGAGGTATAGCCATTAGCGTTGTAAGCCCATTTGATGTTGTCCATTATAATTAGGGATATTTTTGCATTATTTACTTTTGTTTTTATTTGTGAAGAATTCCACCTGACAGTTTATCGGTCGACTGATTGCTAAATACTTCATTTCTATATTTAGGTTTGTTTAAATAAGAAAATGTTGATAACTATGAAGGGATACATTTTTAATGAACGTCTGTCTTGACTCCTGGTAGCCATATTACCCACCATTCCTTACTAATTCTGGAATTTCAGAATCGTAATTGATAACATCAATATTTAATGACGATGACGTAATTTGCATTTTGTAATCCCGTAATTTCTTACTTCAAAACTTTTACTTTGAATAAAAATTTTTGAGTATATGTGTAGATCAATTTGAATAATTTTACTGACCTTCTAATTTCGTTCGCTAGGAAAAAACTTTTTTTCATCGTTTCTATTTTTACGTGTGGATACCAGAAAGCAAAAAAAAAGAAGAAAAAATGAAAAATGATTGATACTATGAGAGCACTTACATCACCAAGATCAATTTTCTTGATGTACCCCAAGTAATCAGCCCGTCCTTTCGTCTCCTCGGCATTGAAATATATCCAATTATGAAGTCCACTGACTTCAGATCCCAGTTTAAGTTCTGTTAAGAACACATGTTCGAATCCAGAGCTACCAATTTTACCATCGCCCCTGGAATAAAGATTGAACCACATTCTCCTGAGTGTGTCCTTGTAGTCATAGTAATCCTTGCGGATGTAGCCCTTATCTGCGAGGAAACGCATCGCTGCTGACATGACATTAGTACTTAGAAAAGTGTCAACAAGTAAACTCTCCTCATTTCTCTGTGCTGGGCTGATGTATTCATTTTCGCGAGCTTCCAGTTTGTAATTGTCATAGATAGTCAAGACTTTTTCGATCGTTGAGATCTGGAATGCTTGCCGATCAACTGTGAGCAATGGTTCTGGGGCCTCATCCCTGGTACTACTGGAGCTAGTTTGCCGCTGGAGATTTACTTTAATATGCTTCCAGGCATTATTATTGTCCTTGATCCACAGCGCTTCAGATAGTTTCTCCAAGTCCTCAGCAGTCACTCCATTACCTTTGCTATAAGTAGGATTACTACTATAAATCTTCTTGCCAGCTCCAGCTACAACTCCTCCAGCAAGTCCTCCAGCCACAGTTCCAGAATTTATACCTCCTCCATTCTGTCCGGAAATCGGTTGTCCAGATGGTTTGGAAACTGGAACGGGCGACCCAGGAGGACTTCCACCCCCAGCCACTTGCGCCCACGTTTTTCCTCCAGGCGGAGAAGCACCAGGAGAGCTTGAAGATCCTGGAAGGCTGGGATATCCAGAAGGATTTTGTCTTCCTGGAGCTGGAGTAATTGGTCCAACATTGAGTGTCGAAACTAGGGGTTTGCCGGTGTCTCCAGGTTGTGCATAACCAGGCGACAGTCCTCCAGTGGAGCCTGTAGAGCCTAATGGCGATTCAGGTCTGGGTCCCAGTGCAGGGGGTTGTTGTTTATTTCCATGTGCACCTGAAGTAGAGATTCCTTGAGGACTTCCAACACCTGATGCTGGAGGAACTGGTCTATTAGCAGAAGATCCAGGCTGAGGTCTTGATCCTCCACTTCCTGCGCCATTCGGAGTGACAGACTGTGGAGAGTTGGGACTTGGTCTTGGCGATAATGCCGGCCCTGAGGATGGAAGCCTTGGAGGCTGTCTGGAAGGATCTCCAGCTCCAGTAAGATCTACTGCCCAGTCTCTGTACCCCTGACCCGATCCACCACCGATTGCTGGATTCGGTGGTCGAGATCCTGGAAAGTCCTGGCCCACTTCGGTCCCAGGATTGGGCCTCTGGGGATGTGCGTTGTTTCGCAAATTTTGACCCGAATTTCCTACTCCTACTCCTAGACTTGGATCAGCTGCACCTGCAACGACATTGGCAACGGAACCCGTTGACTGATGAGACCCTGGAGGAGGATTGTTACTTTGTATTGGACGAATTGTTGTGGTTGTTGTCGTTGAAGTTGTTGGAGTTTCTGTAGTTGTCTCTTTGTCTTTCTTCCAGAACTTCCAGCCAGCTTCGGTATTCTCTGGAGAATTTATTACATAACAAAATTTGAAATTTTGGAAGAAAAAGTATACGGTCTTTGGTATTGGTAAAGTAAACTAGAGCAATTGGGCAAGAGAATATCAGACTTTTCCTTTATGGAGTAGGAAATCGAAGGATCTTGGAAAGAAAATAATAATAAATTTATGGTTAATCAAAAATCGCAGATCTATGGTGAATAATTACAATGTCGGCGAAAGTAATTGGGGAAAAAAGAGAATGTTTGGTGAAGAAAGTGTTCTCAGAATTTCCATGCACATAAAAAGCAAAAACGGTCACTATTTAGTAGATTCACACCAGGGATCATACCTCGGATTCGGGTTGAATTGAGGACGAGGCTCGAGTTCACAATTAGTAACTTCCCAAATAAACACCGTCAACCATCGTTGTTCTAAGATACGAGAAATTAGGTCCAGTAGCCGGTT